CTCCAGTAATCCCTCTTGACTCAAATCCCAGATCCCCAAAACCCCAAAACCCCAATTGAACAAATTATCAATGAATTTAGAGTTATGAAATAAATATAGGAATAATTGAGATTATCAATCAAGATCTTTTTATTTTTTTCTCTTCATATCCCACCTTTATCTTTTGGGAATGGACTAAGCAGAGGTTTTTGTGATCCTAATGGATTGTCTGTAAAGCTATTTTACTATTGGTGCTGCTACATTTACTGATTCATATAGTATGCATTAGATTGACTATTAGGCATGTAGTGCTGGTTTTATCCCATCTAAGGAGGCTGCTACATTTAACCAAGATTAGTAGCACTTGATTACTATTACCGTTGCATTTGCAACTACTATTATTGCTATTACATCATTTAGCTGTAGAACATTTGTTGAAAGTTAGCAGGTAACTAGTTTGGGTTTAAATTATGTTGCTTAATAAACAATTATTGTTGAGCTTGATATAATAATTGGTGTTATTGATTCTGTTAAGTCCTATACTACAACATCTATTGCTGCTGCTCAGTCAATCTTTAAGCATGATTTGGACTCTCCATTCCAATTCCATATGGCTACTATTAATATGGCTAATGCATATTTGTTGGTTATTGATTCTAATGAGCTTGATATCCAGGATATTATTATTAAGGAGGCTACTACTATAGATTAATAGATGGAGGCATATCTTGTGCTGATATATTTGGTAACTTTTAGTTTTAAACTTGCTACTAGAGTTAAATTGAAGTTTTAGAAGCGCTCGCTGCAGTAGGTCTTAATTATGGTGAGTTGTTAAAATTATTAATAGTATCGCTTGAAGAGTTATTTGAAACTGAGTTTGAATTTAGATTCACGCTGGAAGGAGATCCCATTTGAAACTAAGAGCTTATAACATCATTTTAAGCTTATTGTAGACTAAGATGTGATTATTCTGCATTAAAGTTTTGGCTATTGCTCTTTCCAAATGTACTGCTTGACAAATTATTCAGCAAAGGCGGCTGCATCGATAACTAAGCCATGGATGAAGAAGCTGAATAATTTGAGACATTTTAACTAGCATTAAGTTGAGAGGATCCCAAATTTTAAGGTAAATTCATTGATTGCATTTTTTATTACTACTGCTATTAACTAAGGATCTATTGCTGCTGATACTTGTTGTAGTATCCACTAAAACCTTGGATACTCATTTGCTACTGTGCAGCCATTAATTGCTACTACTATTATTATTGAGTGAGCTATTAGTGCGTTGTCTGCTGCTATTGAGATGACATTCCGCTAGTATTGCTTAAAGTATGATAAGGATGCACTGGATATGGCATTTAAAATTACTTCTAATTTTGCTGTGATTATATACTCTGCTATTGCTATGTTTACTGCTGTTACTATCTAAGTTAGTATTGTTATTATTGCTACAGATCGAATGAATTTTAAGAAATTTGATTTTGCTGCTAGTGCTACATTTAATTGAATTGATTTACAATAGCTGGATTTGGTAATTATCTATCTATAAGTTTGCTCTATTATTGTTGAATAATGTTATGATGCTGAAAGTCGAAATTTGGTTGTCTTGTTTACTCTTAGCTCTTTTAAAGTGTTAGCGATCCCTCAGCTCCAATGCTTATACTGTTATCTTCATCAATCTCTTCATAATCAAATTTATGGCTGCTTTTTGATAGACTATTTCTGTGACCCATATATTATCTACTACCTCTCATAGCAAGATGGGTTTTAGGAGATCCATTGCTGACTCCTCTTATATTATTATGCTTATATTGAACATTTGATGATCCTGCATTTTGATCATCATCAGTGAGAGACACTGGATTTTGTAATAACTATCTCGAGCCATCTTCCGAGTTTGTGAATCTCTGCTATGATATCCTATTCGTATTTATAGGTTGAGTAAAACTATGTTTGTCAGAAATAGCTCTCTCAGTTGAGTAATGACTGTGGAGATCAACAGCCATTGCATCAGCTTTTTCATTAGTGTTTGCACTCTCTATGTATTATGAGGAAGTTGAAGATAAAACATGAGGTGTTTGAATGATAGAAGATTAAGGGTTGCTTGCACTAAATGGAGGTTAAAGTTGCAATGATTGCCCTTAAGATTTGTCCATTATTGAATTTGAATTACTTTAATAAAGTTGTTAAGAGGCATGGTTGCTAAGATTCTTGCTTTAAGATACTGTCAGTTCTTAGTTTTTTAAGTTCAAAGTTTTAGTTGGTAAGTAAATACTCTCTTCTTTAGAAGCTTAAATGGATTATGGATCATATAGGGATTATTGGCTTTCTTTTGGAAGTATTTTTTAATCATTCGGGTTGTATGTCATTACCTTCTTACCTCTCGATGACTACTATAATGGCTGTATCTAAATTTGAGAATTTGCTTGATTCAGATTTTATTACTATTGAGGAGTAGTCTTTTAATTTTGTGACCCTTGTACATTGAGTTTTTAGCTTGACTACTGCTATTTCTAAGGATGATCTTTTTAAATCATATCTTAAATCTTATCTGAAGATGAAATCTATTGTTACTGCTAAGAACTATTAGCTTTTTTTCTATCTGTTGAAATCTTTTTCTCTGTGGGCACTTCTTTATCTAAAGTCCTCTGCTTTTCATCTTATTCATGTGAAAGAATTGACTTGGTTGTCTCTTTTAGATTGTTATCACTTTGAGAAACTACTTTTTGTCTCTTTTTTTATATGATTGGTTGAGTTTACTAACTTTGAGATTTATCTTAATTTTTATGACTAGTCTTTTTATTATCTGGCTTTTGTAAATCTTCGCTTTAACTCATTATCTACTTCTCCAACTATTCGACTTTCAGATATTATCTTTGCTTTAGATTTGCATAGTTTTAATAGGTAGCTTAGAGTGTTACATCCATTCTCTATCTTTGTAAGAAAAACTCATCTTCTCTAGCCCAATCTTTGATTTATTCTTAAAGTTCATTATTTCTTAACTATGTCTAGAAATTATAATATGCTTCTGGTGACTTCTACTATTCTTACTCAGTCTTCTTAATGGTGCAAATTTAGTCAGACAGATCATAATTAAACCTTGGTTTGAATTAATTGATAGACTAACCTTATTTCATAGCTTTAAGATCCTACATACACTTTTCGAATCTGGCGGCGAATTTCCTCTTCTAGTTTGCTGCTGATCTATCCTACTAAGCTTTTAATTTCTTCTGATCAACTTACTCATTAATGTCAGAATCAACAATGGCATCTTGAGATATCTTCTATTCTTCTTCAGGCTACGGAGCACTTTACTTAGCATTCTTTTTCTGCTGTCTTTTCTTTTAACCTTTTTCTTAATTTTAGGTGCCTGATGAAGATTGATTTATTTCTATTTTCTAATTATCTCGTGATTCTGATATTTTCTTTTCAATAATGCTTTTATTTTGAGATACAGGTAAACTTATCTGATTATTAACCTGCACCTTTTCTAAGTTTTGCGTGTTTGCTTGATTCTGCTTAATAGCTTGTTGTTAAAGTGACTATTACTGGTTTTACAAATGCATTTGCTATTTGTATTGTAATTATTATGCTTCCATTTATCTACTTATATTGTTAGTATCTGCCATTTATTATAAAATTATGTTATCTCGATCAAAATTTTAAAAGTTTTGTTATTATAATTATTACTACTACTAAACCTTCTACTATTGCTTGAATTAATTATTCTCTTGGCTCAGAGGTACATTTTTGCTTTATTATTATTAGAGAGGATTGCTTTGCATCTGATTACTATACAACTACTTCTGATTCTGAGATTGTTACTGTTGATGTTGTGGAATTTGCCCATTATTTTTATCTACAGTTTGCTAACTAGACATTTATTGTTATTATTAGTGCATGTATTGAGATTAAACATTATTTTCCTTCATCAACTATTACTATTACTAAAGAATCAGTTAAGATTAAAGGTAAATCTATTGACCATTTTAGTTTCCCTGAGGAGTTATCATATCATCCATATTTCTCTAGGCTTGATTATAGTTGAATCTTTGATTTAAATGATATTGTTGTGAAGTTTGATTAAGCACAGGGGATTTTTAGCTAAGGTTGGGCTGATCGTATTTTGAGTTCTTTTATTATAGGAAATTTTAAGATGAGTCCATTTATTAGATAATATTGATGTTGAGAGTATATTATAAGATTTTGAATTTTGAGTCAATATATAGATTTTTCACAATTTAATATAATTTTGTAATAAATTTATCTACTATTGATACCAAAATTTAACTTAACGGGGTTTTGGGGTTTTGGGGTTTT